GTCTCGAATTATTACATCGTCGACCGCGTTGGACCTCGAGGAATTCTCACACTTTGGCGGACGGGCGCGCGCGCTTGCTTGCTTACTCTCGCGAGGAAATCTAAAACGAAACTTTCGTTTGCCGCTTACTAAAAGTATACAGCGCCTAAAGACACGTAGGTCGGAGGATTTATGAGAACGTCGACCTTTCGCGTTTGTAACGTGGCTGCGCGCCGCGTTCTTTTTCCTCTTCTAGACGAAGACGCGCGTTCGTGCGATGAAACGCGGCGCAAACCAGGCCAAATTAATTCTGCATGCAGATTAATACTTCAGCATGACTTTGATTTTCGTACTTGCGTATATATCACGGGAGACAACGAGAGTAGAAAGAGAGAGAGAGAAAGAGAGAGGATCGATAATCGGACGGCGTGGACGACGCGATCTCAATTATAAAGCGAGCCAAAGCTCTCTCGGCGTGGAGGAAGACGCGGGAATCGGGACGCATTAAAAATTACGATCGGTAGCGCACGATAATTACCTAATTACGAGAGAATCACGAGCCAAAGGGTCTCGGGGGCGATGATAAATTGCGCGATGCGCGGCCCGCTCTCCCGTTCGCAACCCCCATTATACAGTTGTTCCGTAACGCATTTGACATGTTCGGTCCGGCGCTAATTACCACATCTGCGTGAGCCAATTACCACGGGCGGTATATATAAGCCACGCCAACGTATCATTAATATCGCGTTTCAGTGCATTCCACCGTTCCGGCGGACTCGTTACCACGCCGCGGAACCGAGGGCGATCGACAACGAGATCGATCGGGGAGCCGTGGCACGTTCGTCTCGATCGTCAGAATTTATTGAAGCGCTAACCTTTCGCGTTTTCACCATATGCTTTCTCTCTCTCTTTCTCTCTCTCTCACACACACAAACATACACACACACACTTGATGTATCTCTCTTACTCTCCCCTGTCTCGCGTCCTCTCCTCGCCGGCCTTCCCTTCTCGCACCCCATTCTCGTCACGAAGTACGACGCTCCTCTTTTCACTTTTTTCCCTCGTCCACCTCCTCATTCCGCGCATAGTGACTCTTTCAGGACGGTAATTGTGACGAATAAACCGCGGCATCAGGGAGTCTTCGTCGACTCGCGCGTTGCACTTCCGAAGTAACAAAGAGAGGGATGTATGAAAAATATTTTTTCATTCGCCGAGAATGGCCGATAAAATTCTGAAAGGTGTCTCATCTGATTTTTGGTAGATTTGAATTGAATCGCTAGTTGAATGTTGTCACTTTTAATCACCGCGACGAGAGAGTCGAGAATACGTAGACATCGGTAATCTCATGGCGACGACGACGACGACGACGACGACGACGACGTCCGCCAGGTCGCGATAAAGATGTAAATCGCGGTGTAAGCGAGGAGAAGTACGAGCGCGGCAGCGGCCCGCTATTAATTCATGCATGCATTGTTACGTGTCAAGGCGCGCGCTGTATCTGTTGGCAGATCATCGTGACGAGATAAGCGAGCGAAAACGTTCCTCCTCTCGTGATCGGCAGCCTTCTCTCGCGAAGGGTTGCCGTGGTGGACGGAAGATGTTGGTGGGAAACGCGCGAGTAGAGTTACTACCACGTGACGAAAAGCTTCTCAGCACAGAAAAATCATTCGCACGCGCGTCCAAGGGCACAATGGACGATTCCTTCAATCTTCGACGCAGAATAGTTAGTCCTCCGAGATACCGATATTAAACACTTGCTCTGCCTTGAAATTATCAAGTCGAAAAGAAGTGAATAATGCCGTTAATGTTGTTTTAATAATTATTATCGAATTGATAATGAATTAACATATTAATAATAATTGCTTGAAACTCGTTTCAAGTAAAATGCTCAGATAGGGATTTAAGCTCGTATTAATAGTCGTCATTTGAAACTTGTCTCATGTGAGATACTCAGATCTGAATTTTGAATTGGATTTGAGTTTCTTGTTTGAATCACACAATATATGCAACATTACATTTGTAATCGCAATTCACCTGAAGAACTCACATTTGACTCTGAATTCAAATCTGAGTATCTCACTCGAGACAAGTTTCGAATATTAATGGTCGCGCGCTAGAGTTAGATGAGAGTCTTTCAGTTGAATCGCGACATTACAAATACAAATGTCACGTATAACATAACACGTTCGCCACCAACGTCACATATGTGTGACGCAACGATCTCTCACTATGTACCAGCATCACGTATGTGTGATGGCAAAATTTTTTCTTTCTGCATATTTCACTATTACCAAACTAAGTCTGTTTTACAAAATTACGTAAAAAGCAGAATAAGACTTGTGGGTGAGACTCTACTAAATAAATCGTGATAGTGAACGTAATCTACTAAAAGAACGAGTCTGACTCTGAATAAAAATCTGAGTGTCTCACATGAGACGAGTTTCAGATGACAACTATCGACGTGTGTCTGAGAGATCAGAAAAAGAATCGCGCGATCTCGAAGTAATATTGCGCTATCAAAAACTGCGAAAGTCACTCCGCGTTGCTGACGTTCCCTCGGCGTGGAAGTCGCGTAAATTTCGCTGTCGCGCCTCGCTCGATTCGATTTATCTACTTAACAGTCGCGAGTCTTTTCCCGCGCGGCGGCGACCTCCGCGGCTTGCATCCGCGTCGCGGCAATAAATTCCACGTCGTTGGTCCTTGGAACGCGCTCGCTCGCTCGCTCGCTCGTTCGCGGTTAACGCGGCCCGATGCACCGATACAATGGACGACGAATCGGCAAATCTCTCGTTACGGCGGAGAGCCGCGCGCGTATACGAAGGCCGGCGATTTGTCGCGTAATGCGCGCGATATCAACGATCTCGAGGTCGCGATCGCCGTGACCGCCGCGTCAGACACGCGGTAACACGTGTCTGGCTTCCAGTGAGAATTTAATTGCTCAGGCTTTCATTTGCCTAATGCAGTCTCCAGCGGAGATCCTTTCTCGCGATTCCTCTCGCTCGTTTGTTCATTTGCTTGCTCGCTCGCAAGCAAGCGAGCAAGCCGGGAGAAACGCTTCGACAATCGTTTCTCGTTTTGTCATTAATTTTCGCGCTGGTTGTATTGAGAATTTTTAATTTCCTCGCGAACACGTTAACAAATGAGGCGTCGTCATTAATAATTCATGATCTTTGATGATCCCTGATTTTAATGATACTCTCAAACTTGCGCATCTCGCGGTCGATTCATTGTTAATGTCGTCGCCGGCATCGCGCCAGCTGGAGTATGTGTGAACAACGTGTTGTCACATTCTGGCCTGCTATCAACTCTTGATATCAGAGCGTGACCGTGCTGATATCGTGTGCTCGTATCTGATGAAGCGTCCACGCCATATCATCTATAATGAAGCGATTCGCGTCACACATACACACACACATACTGTAGTAATTAAAAATAACGTCGATGATGCATCGCGTCGAGGTTTGCCGGTTAACTAGCTCGCGCTTATCAGGCATCGGTCTCTCGTTGTGTACCTTCTCGATCGTTTGATCTCGTCCGTACAAATGCGACAATAAAGTCGCCTGTGTCGCTCGAGAGAAATGTATCGCTTAGAAATGTAGTCCAAGTAGAGGAGAAGATCCATACTATCTTCAAAATATTTCTTATCGATTGGAATTTTTTTTGGCTCACTCTGTACACGGAGAAGATATCGTAGCAAAATTACGATGAAATTATATACATTTTTACAATATTATTGCAATGTTGATTTGATATATGATATAAAAGAACATTTAAGAAATTACAATCATTTTTTTTATAAAATATCAAAAAAATGTGCTAAAATTTTTAATCAAATTTACGGTAGCGATTTTGATTATAATTTTGATCATAATGGTTCAAAATTACAAAAATTCGATTGGAATTTTTATTACAATATTTTCTCCGTGTAATTGTGTGAGGAAAGATGTAGAGGATAAGGTAAGAAGAAGGGTGGAATAAGGTATTTCTTTCTTTTTCTGGCTGAATACGGCGGGAGTCAAACACAAGAGGTCCCTGGAATCCTAAAATTCATCGGCTCGCCCTTTGTGATTCTTTTTGTTTATTTATTTTTCATTTGCTCGACCCTCGTTGTAATAGGAAACAAGCGACGAAGCGATGATTCTGATTTTCCCTGTCGTGTTGCGTGGAGTGTCGGTCCGAGGGAACGTTAGAGAGGCACGGAAGTTCATTAGTGAGGTATAATCTCGGGCTCGACATTCCTCGTCCGCCGACCTTTGGACCTCTCCTCGGGTCAGGGAGAATTTCGAGACCCAGCCGCAGGTAAAACACCGCGAGCGCGCATGCAGCGGTTGTATCCCAAATCTTACGTAAAGGAAACCAGTCTTTCCACTTTGCTACGCGTGATTTATTTTAACAAACGAGTACGCCCGTGATTTCGACATAGTAAATCGATTTAGCCGCCTCCGCGCTTATCTACACGCCCGTGCGTTACAGGAGCGTCCGATTCGCGAGGCCGAGGCTGCACCGTGAACTCGAGACGAAATTTTGGTCCTGCATTAACCTCACATTAACCTCCGTCGAACTTGCAGGACCAGTGCACGGAAAAAACATTTGGTTGGATTTCCGTGAAATGTAAACGAGCCTGAAAATTCTGACTAAACTTGCTAGAATTTTGTTCAAATTAACCAGAAATCTTGTTCAATTGATTAGAATTCACTTCAATCGACATTTCTGGCTCGTTTATATTTCACTAGTTTATTTAATCTGACTAAATTGTTTCTTTAGTGTGCAAAATCTTTAATCCTTTAATCGATCGTTTCAATAGACAATATTATTGAGACTTCAAAAAAGGATTTATTTAAAAATGATTTAATATTTAATTATCTCAATAGTCGTGTTACCACCTGCGTTTAATTTTTATTTTTCATCTCAACGAACAATATATTAATTATGCAATATTCTCAACTACAGATAAATTATGTTCACATTAAGCCATATTTAGTATTTAACAAAGATTACTGGTAAGTAAATGAAGAAAAAACGGGAAACTGTTTTCTTTCATAATATCTTTATTATTTGTTTTATTAGCGTTAAAAAGCGCTTTAGTATTCAAAAGAGATAAAAAAGAAAAAATTATACATTTCATTGATACCCGCAGCTACATCCTGCGTCCTGCATTTCGTCCTGAAGTCAGCTCCTGGTCGTCTCGTGACGCCAGACACTCAATGGTACCACACGATCGATTGGCAATGCGACATTTAATAGATTTATAATAAAAAATTTAAGAATTTTTAAAGGTCTGCGTTTTAAAATCGTTGTCGTGATTTTTCAGCCTCCGTATATACGCGTTATTGACTAGCGTGCTACGATAATGGACGGTAATGTCCTACTTTGAAAGTGCCGATTGTTTTGGTAGTCTCGCGCGTTGTGTACTCTCAGTCTCGCGGATGCCTTGTCGTCAACAGTTTATCAAAGTTTCGCTGCGTTCGTGTATCCAGCGCTATACATTTCTCGTGACTTGATTAATCTAGAAAGCATGAACGTGTTTTCTAGACTAATCAACAGTCATGAGGAACACGTATCGCGTGCGCGCGCGAGTGTGGCTGGTCGAAAATATTCAGTAGTTATCGATCGTAGCTGTCGGATGGTAAGGCGATGTATCGATCTATCGAACCCGCGGAACTAATTGTACAGATGGCGGTCGTCGTAACAGCGCGCCGCACCAATTGCGCGGCCATCTTCGAAATCGATCTCTTTGCGTCGAGCAGCCGCCATTGACGCATCGGTCCACATCACTCTCCGTGTTTCACGCGTCTTTTGTCCTCGAAAGCAAGTCTCGTGCGAAAATAAGTATCGGGAGTGTCGGCAATAGTGATGTGCGATCGGCGGAACGTGTCGCAGGTACGTTATTACGGAGTGATTATCCTCGTTTGTCGGTGTATGCAAAGCGGTGCTTGTCGCGACGAAGTGTCGAGAGTCGGCGTTTCTCTTACACTTGTCATTACCGTCGTCTCACTCAAGTAGTGACAGAATCGGACGATCGTCAGGTTTATTCAGCGGGAATTAGAAGCGCCGTGATAATTGATGAAGAAGTGGAAAAAGGCAATGCGACGCCGAATCTCGCGCGGTAGCGCGTCAGTCTGTTAGCAAGGAGAGAAAGAGGGAGAGAGACAGCGCGTGTCGTAGGAGGGCGACACTGTCTCGGAGCGCATTTTCGGTGCATGTCATCGATTGCGCAGTCATCTTTGATTTCGATCTCTTTGCGTCAAGCTACCGCTACCAACACGTCGCTCGACATCGCTTTCCGCATTTTACGTGTCTTTTGCCCGTCGAAAGTGAGTCTCGCACGGAAATGATGACTATCGGGAGTGTCGACAATAGCGATTTGCGATCGCCGGGACGTGTCGCAGATACGTTATTAGGGAGTAATCTGCTCATTTGCCGGTGTATTATGCACTCCGTGCTTGTCGCGACGGTCTAATCGCGTTCTCGTCGGCAACGTGTTACTTTTAACACACGTTTCTCCGATCTAATCGTATTTACGCGGTGTTAGTGCCAATGAGTGTCTGTGCGACGAAGCTATCAGGACCAGGATACTGGATCGGACAGCGAAGACGGAGGAGGCAGAATGCAGGATCACAGGCAGCGATATATTGTACGTTTCCAGGTGTGTCTCGGTTATTTATTATGCAGAATATCTCTAATTTGAACGGATCTCTGATTTGATGAACTCGTCGAGTATAAGGAGACATTTGAATCGAAATTTAGAATTTATTCTAAGGCCGGTATTTATGGTCTACTTCGTCATTTGATAAATAATCATAATTTCGTGAGTCCTTGATTCTTGTACAACAAACAGCCGAATAATATCCCATGATAAGGAATTTGTAGTTAATTATACTCTCAAAATCAAAGATAAAAAATAATTTACGGTTATTGTGGTCTAAGATTCCTAAATGCTGAGATTTGTGTCTCTAATAAACTTGTATCGAACCCAGATTTGAATCACTGTTGATGTTTACATAACTGCTATCTTTGACCTCACTTTTTCTTCCTCATCTGTTTTGATTATTCAAATCTTATTGAATCTTGAATGCCAATGAAAAATAACAAGAAGGATTATGAATGAAAGCAAGTATGGTAGAGATACTAGATTTCTTTCTTTATGCCTCAACACATTGAGAGAACGACATCAAGTAAACAGTTTCTTCAATATTATGGTAGAACAATAACATGGACAGTGTTATTGTTGTATATATCGAGATTCTCCCTTTCAAGTCGACGGAATTTTCAAGCTTAAGAAAGTAGCGAATTTTCGGCTCGGGATTTCAGTTGCACATAAAAGCCGGGAAAATGCGAGATGTTATTGTGGTTTCGAGAGATATTGAAGAAAGGAAAGAGAAAGAATAGAAAGGATTCGTTTCACGGCCACGGCCACGGGTGGAGGGGGAGGAGGGGGGGAAGGAGGTACATAACGTCGTAAACGTTACCATTGTCGGGTAACCGACGGTCTCGGAACGTGGTCTTCGTCACGAGATCTCGTCTTTGAGTTTCACACCAGCCGTGGAGAAGCCTAACGACCTGGCCTGGGCGATACGATAAGTCGTTAATTTACGTTTACCAACGATACCGTGGCGGCCCGTCGCGTGGGTGGCCCGTCGTTCCATACGGCGCCTCACGGCATATCTGGCCCGCTCGGGGAAGCCGAGGGATGCTCGCGACATGCTCGCGATTAATTAGCTAGGCTACGATATCGCCGAACGAAAGTGTAATCACGGCCGGATCGGTCACGCTTTTCGGGACGACGACGACGACGACGATCGGCATTCTCGGGGAGCGACGCGTTCGATGGCTCGATCCATCTTCCATTCGCGTTAACAGTCGGATCGCGCACACAGTCGTACGAACGAGTATCTGCAAAGTTTGCATTCGGTGTGTAGAAATAACAAAAAATAAATGAAATAAGATGAGATTCGTCAAATAGATTATATCGCGTTACGGGCCAATGAATGGGGATGATTGAAATTCCTTCTTCCGCGTGTCTGTTTTGTATGTACCACACGATCGTTCCGGCTCGATAATCAATGAGGCATTAATTACCACAGCAGGACCGCGTCTCTGAAGCCCGCGAGCCCGGGAACTCGTAAAGTCACAAAGCGAACCGGTATTCAACTGCCGTTACGTATTTTGTCTACGGCCGCGGTGTATTATGGCTTCGTTAAGAGCCCCTTTAAGGCGACATCGCGACTCCTTCACACGGCCCGCGCGGAAAAAATCCCCGAGATGTGAGAGACACGCGTTGTACCGTTCGGCTTTATTTATGCTCACGCTCTGCGATGCAGGCGAAGTCCTCTCTCTCTCTCTCTCTTTCTCTCTCTCTCTTTCTCCCTCCGGAGCGAAGGGCGGCCTGTGTTAGTTGGCGCGATCACTCTCTCGCACGCGGGAAGCCGCCGTCAATTGTGATCGGGTCCGCTGACGAAGCGGAATATACCCGAGATAAGCGAAAGAGAAAGAGAGAGAGAGAGAGAGAGGTACGCGCAAACCCGCGCACGAGGTGGTCGACTGCGCGTACACACGACCGCCGGGAGTTCTATCCAGGGTCACATAACCGTTTTCTGATGACACTCGGTGAGTAATACATCACTCGAAATGATGCGTGCTGACGAGCACACGCGGGGAGTTTTGCGCCGCCGCTCTCTATATAAGGATCATCCACTCGCGCGTATCATTAACTTGGCGGAGGTCGCAGGTCCTCCGCGACGACGACGTTCGACGTGGCGGCGCGGCGCGTTGCACCGCGGTCTAAGCGTTTTCCCGCGTCAACTAGGAATTTATACGCGCAATATATTCTGCCGGTAATCAGCGGTCGAGAGGATGCGAATTTATAACGAGCAGTGAACGGGGAAACAGACCCCCCTCTCGTGCGAGCAGAAAACTCGGCTTTTCCTTTTCCACAACTGCCCAGACTTTTCTTTCGCGACTCCCGTAACTCCCAGTGTTTTCCTCGTGTTTTCTTTGCAGATCCGCGTTCATCTCGATATTTTGACAGTCGCGCGAATTACAGCTTATTATATTCGCGTGAGACGAAAAGAGGTGAGTTCTTCCTCTCTCTCTCTCTCTCTCTCTCTCTCTCTCTCTCTCTCTCTCTCTCTCTCTCTCTCTGTTTCGCGCGCAAAAACTTCGGATCCCATTGTTCGTGGAGATCGCAGTCGAGGGGGAAAACGGGAGTTCGAGATGGCGAAGAAGGACACGGCAGCGGTGGAGTGGAATCAGGTACGTGGGTCGGGCAGAGGCCAGACTCCGGAGCGCGACGAGTCACCTGCGGTGTGACCGATGCTAGCCGTCAGCGAACGCGCTCGCTATCATCTCACCGAGTCCCTGGCCTTCTTCGTCATCGTGCCTAATGCTAACTGCTCGCCGGGGCTCGGTTAGCGTACAGTCCTCCGCAAGAGTCTCAAGCTTCTGGCTCGTGAACATTTTCAGGGGCTTTCTGGGTCAGGGAATTGTGGATATTATCATAACCCGAATAAAATCGCCCGTTTTAGACGACACATTCTGCCAGGTCTGAGTCTATTTTGCAAATTCGCGCCGGCAGAAACGCACGCACTCGCGAACGTTTCGTCGACCGTCTTTACCGTGCTTTCGCGAAACGGCGCCTTCCGCGTTCCTCGCCGTGCGGAATTCAGCGCGATGAAGTAATTTAGTGGAGCTCCCCTTCCCCTCCTCCTCTCCCCGTCGACGGGCGAGAGATGATGCGTCCGTCGAGGTTTTTCCGTGCCCTCGCGATGCGTTACGCCGCGTGCGAGAGGATCGCCACCCGTGCTAATTGCCGCTCGTACGCGAGAGAGAAGTCAAGTTCGCTGCCATCATCCGTCGTCCGCCGGCAACCTGTTGAGCTTCATTGTCGAGATATTCCATTCCTCCAGTCACCTGCGCCACGTGGCAATTAGCGGCACATGTGCGCGCGCGGCTATCGCAGCAGAAAAAAAAAGATTCAAACTGATGCCGCGGGAGCGCGTTAATTAACAGCCACAATCGCGCGAGTGCGTGCACAATATAGAGAGAGGTGATCCAACTCTGAATTCGTGCCTCCTCGTCGATAGTTCGTGTGATGAATTTCGACTTTGACTTCGCCAAGCTCTCCCTCTCCTTCCCTCTTTCCTCTCTCTCTCTCTTCTCTCTCTCTTTCTCTCTCTCTCTCTCTTTCTGTTCGAGCCGTCCGCCTCATCCGTCGTCTTTATTGTAATCGGGCTTCGCGTGATGTCTTCTTTCTACTTTCGTTGGAAGGAACCTGTCGCGCGAGCGCAGCAATTTGTTATCTATTTGTCAATAATTCTGCACGCTAATTCGCCGCGTATACTTGGCGCGTCCGTCATATGGCGGAAAGCCGAGTCGCGTGTCCGCGAGCGAAAATGGAAAGCGCGACAGGGGAACTCGCGTTTATCGATATCGTCAGTTGATACGGCGAGTTGCGAGACTCGACGCGCGCGAGACTCGACCTCTGATCGCGTAAGGCATGCCCGCTTCCAGCCTGTCGCTTCTTTCTTGTTCTTCTATCGTCACGCTCTGACCTTCCCGGTGACTTCGCAGGTGAGATAATCTAGACGCTAATCGTTCATCGTGCGCGCACGTGGCCACTTTATGTTTCACCCACGCGCGACATGTTTCCTCTATCGCTCGGAAACATTCGCGGGATCGTTCGCTTCCTTGGTGTTTATCGTCTCAAGTCAATCCTCGGTAATGAACGCGCATTTGTTGACGTAGAATTTTGAAACAAGGAATCGTTTTTGCATTTCAGAATGTGTGCATTCTTACAATTCGCGGATAGATTTAGGTGATGGACTGAGACCTCCATATGGAGAGAATTTTGAAATAAAAATTGCCATAGAATTTGGCAAGCGAAAAATAGACCGATATTCTGCAGTAATTCATTTTGCATACGTGTTATGTATTTTTCAAAAACCGAAATGTGCTATTATGAAATAGCAAAGTTCGCTATATTCCTTAACAAGATATACTTTACAATCTGTTGTTGCACTACTAGAAATATAATAAAATTGAATAGAGTTTATATGAAAAAAAAAACAATTATGATATTTACTCCGTGTATAATAGGCAAATTAATGCGAAGAAAAAAATAATAGTAATTATTTTTTACAGAATTTATATACATAGAATTAATCTAGTGAATAGAGAATTTTTTCCATGCGTCGTCGTGGCGTTACAAGATTTCTAAGACTCGAGCGAAAAGGACATTTCAATATTTCATCTTGTACGAGGTAGCTTCGGCCGCGAGACACGCAAAAGTAAGCGAGTTGTCGCAATCGTGATGACTCGCGGTCGACCACTCGACCTTTGGTCGGTTGACTGCGTACTCTCGACTTCTTCCTGCCTTCGTTTATCCTACCTTCGTTCGCGTGCTTCCTCCTCCTCGCCATCCTCCTACATCTTTCGCGAGGCGAACCCGTCGACTCGCTGGTTCGCTCGCTCGCTCGCTCAGGAGAGAATCGTTCGCGCTAATCGCACCTCGTGCGCGAGGCGACGAGGTCACACGGCGCTCTTTGTTTGTCATCCGCCCGCAACAATCTGCCGCCTCGCTCTCTCGTTAAACGTACGTGGCCGGGTGAGGAAGAAAAGAACAGAGAATGACGGAGA